TAGCACCATAGTCGAGCGAGAAGAGCACCAAAGTGCCCCAGACTGGCGATATAGCACCAGCAACTACCTTTTTAGAAGATACATTGAATTTGATCGAATTTTGGAGGGGTGTTTGAAACAACCCTTGGTTATTTTCTATTTTCTACTTAATGAGAAAGATTTTGCCAAATTTAGAGACCTTTTGGAGCCTCAAAACTTCAATTGGGTTTCAATAGTGAGTTAGGTTTTTCATATTTTGTGTTTAAGTGTAAGTGTGAGTGTGTTTTAGTGTGAAGAAGTTTGGAGATTGCTTAAAGGAAACTCCAGAAGTTTGCATGGGGATAATACATAAGATACTTTATATTTGTGTTTAAGTTTTTGTTGTAAGACTTGGATTTCAATGCAAAAGTTTTGTTTTTGTTTAATCTCCATAAATTCTGAGTAGTTCCCTTTCTTTCTTCTTACATACGAGACATAATCTTGTGGGATGAAAATGATTTACTTGTGGGATGAACATACGAGACATAATCTTGTGGGATGAAAATGATTTAAAGATTTCTTTTTAATATTAAAAATTGTGATGGTATTTTCACCGAATCTTCATTTTTGGTATAAATTGGTCACTTGTGAGGTTAAAATCTGTTGAGAAATATAATGACCTGGGAGGGTTATGATTTCACCAAACTAGTGGATACCACACTTCATTATAGGCAGAGTCACTGCGATCACCTAAGAGGGAGTGCAAATAAATAGGGAGATAAGTTTTGATGAGTGTAAAATTGGTTATATTTAGAGTGACAGGCTAGATTATTATCAGTTTAGCTTAAGGTTTAGTACTTTGACGCTAGAATTCAGTCATTATGGTGGCATATGCTAGGGGAATCTAGAGGCAAGAGGCTAGATAACACTGATTTGAAGTCGAGATGTTAAAGAATCGACCTTAAGTTAGCTAATGTTCTTTGGAAGCACCTGGAGGGGGGTAAACAATAAAGTATGATTCTATTTGGCACAATACCTTAATTTTATCTTAAATCATTTAAATCCCACAAAGATTAAAATCTCTTTGCATGGGGAAATATTTTTTATAATATCCAAACTAGTTGCTATGCATTATTAAGCTATTATATTTAGTTGTTACTTTCTTCTTAGCTCTTTAAGTAATGATTTTTAGACCTCTTATCTACTTAATTTGAAATTTAAATAGAATTTCTATGAGTTGATTATAAGAGTTACCGCATTCCTCGTGGGATCGATACTGGGTTTTTAAGGAAAATCTTATATTACTTGAAAAGATACGTATACTTGTGTAATACCTCCAATGTGAAAATCTATTATGTAATTCATAAATCATTGCATGTGTTCAAACTAGCCGCTAAATGTAAATTAAGATATATTTTCTGGCAAAATTAAGGAGATTAAAAATACAAGTAATTGCGGGTCGAGTCACCATTCTTTAGGCCACTACCTCTACGACACACTCCTCGCCACTTCTATTATATGCTTATTTACATTTGTATTTGTATGCACGCATGGATAGCAAGCCGACTCAATAGGCAAGTGACCCTATGTTGGTCGTGATGCCTTAATGAGCATTGCTTACCAGGTTAATCCCAACGAGCAATGTGAATTAAAGTATCAAGACTGAAATAGGTATGATAGTGTTAAGGATCCAAGGGATCTAATTCGTGCACATTGCATGTTACGGGTCTGTCTTTAATGGTCATTAATAAAAAACTTACATATTATGCTATTTATTACGTCCACTATAATTTTAAAATTATGCAAAATTATGCATGTAGCAAAGCAAACTAGGTCATATGTAAGACCAACTCTTTTCAAAATCCATCATGTGTGACACTCTTTAGATCCTTTGGATTTTTAGAATGGGGTTGGTGTGTCGACCTTGTCAAAGTCATACAAAACTAGAGACTTACTCTGAGCACTTAGATGCTGGTTAGGAAATTTTTTCGTTAGATGGTGTGTTAAGTTAGAAATAGAGTGGTAAATAATATTTTTGACGACTCTGGCTCTTGTTCTTTGCCGGCTTGTTTGTTCTAGTCATGCATCCCTTTTGCACTTTTTGGTGTACTTGTGTGTGTCTGTTTAGATATGCATGATAGTATATTAAAGTAGTCTTCTGCCGAGGAATTTTTCATATATATGTACACACACATGTACAATAAAAAGGAGAACCAATGTAATGGTTATTAGTAACCTTTCTCTGCAGGTGCTGCTTAGCTCCCTCACCAGGCATGTCTCATACCCGTTGCATTCTTGTTTTGCTTTCTTGCTAACATATTTTTGTGCAGATCAAGTCATTTTTCTTACTTTTCCTCTGTATTTCTTAGAGTCCTAGAAGTCACTTGTAGTAGAAATAAGAAAAGAACATGAATTCTGAAATGTTTGGTGCAAGAACCACAGAAAGAGGGGACCAAGAGCATATGCTTGTGTCTTGTATCTTAATTTCACATTTGATATTGATGTATAACATTAGGACCAGACATGTATATACAAAGTTTGGTCGTTCTTTTTTTTTTTTCTGAGATATGTTGCCGACTCAGCGACACCAATCTTTTCTTATTTTTTTATTTGGCTTATTTTTCTTTTTGCATGTTTACATGCTTTAAGTGGATTTCAATATTTTTTCTCTGGTTTGTCTGAGAATCACGAATCCAATATAGGATCTTTAGGATTTAAAATTTTAAATTTGCTACAAAAATTCTAATAAAATATTTAGGATAACAAAAATTTTGAGATTAAAACATTTAGGACATTGAAGTTTGCAATTGACTTTCTTGCATAGCCTTTAGGTTGGATTTTAAATGGGCTGCATACATGACTATTACCCAAGTCATATTTAACAGGGCCTCCACAATATCTAAGGACCGCTTTAGATAACTGCATTATTTTGCATATCCCGAGGAAAAGCCTCTATGCTTCTCAAAATCGACTAGCCCAACATAGATTTCTACTTAGCTGATTGTCTAGTACGCTTAGGTCGTTAGAAGGCCCGCCGACCCAAAAGAGGTGTAAGTCCTTTTTTGGGAGCACTTTCAGCTTTGTAGCTGAATCTCCCTTTCTCCTCTTTTTTAGTGACATGCTTGCCATTTTAGCGGGTATAAGTCCCTCCCATTGGAGATCCACCTAATAAAAATATGATAGAGTTTCTTTCATTTAACCTTAAGGCTACTAAGGTCCCCGCGGACGACATAATTCTTGGATTGATGACCGGGGATCTTTAGACATATTGGCTTGACTACCTTCACAACCAAATAGACTTAGGGTCTCAATAACTTGGGATGTCGGGTCCATGGTGCCCTGACCCGATCACCTCTACCTCCTAGGGATTACTCCTCCCTTCTTTTGACCATCCCTATTAAGCCATGTCATTCCTTTTGCCTTCTTTGATATCATCATGACAACCCAATTACCAATGAGCTGTCGCTCGTTTGAGATACGACGATTTGTTTTCTCCCCTTTTGACCCAGTTGTTCTTTGACTTATCAAGGTTACCCGTCAGAATGATTCAGTCATTTTGCATGCTCCGTATTCCGATGAGTTCATTTCTCATGTAGGACTACGAGAGACTCATTCTCCGCCTCGTGGCTTAGCGGGAGCTCTAAAAGCATCGGAGCATTCCCATGCAAAGTAACTATCATTTGGTAGCCCTGTGCTAGTCGTCACTACTAATGCAAGTAAGTCTTCTTTGGATCAAGAGTATTCTTGGGCAACCCCCAAAATGTAATTAACTAAGTGGCATACGTCCCCTTGGGACCATTCTAGACCCAAAACAAACAAATACACTTGATTCTCTGGTTGTGGGTAGCTCATAGGCATTCTTTCACATATATTTGACACAAGTTATTTTGATCCGATCTAGTTCTGGCGTATGTGTTGGACCTATCCTTGCAAGGTTTGACGCACAGAGGTTCTCCACGTTCTTTCTCTTGTTGCCCGCCCCTGTTCCCTCATATGTTGCGGAAGAGCGACTTATTCGAAAAATGGAAGTATTCAACGATGATGATAGACAAACTAATAACTCCTTTAACAATAAAAAGAGAAAGGAACGAAAAAAGATACTTCCCACAATAATTTTTTATTTAAAAGCCAAGTTGCTCAATGGACAAACCAAAAATTAAGTGGGTGGGGTGGCCAAATAAAAAAAAATTAATGAGTGTCTATTCATGTTGAAAAATTCCTTCTCCTAAAAATTTTAAAAATATTACAAATATAGCTATTAAATTGAAAATAAAATTAATATTAAATTATTTTTATATAATTTTATAGGTACAAAATACTTAGTATATTATATGACATTAAAAAAACTAGGGACATTTCCATACATACCAAACAATTCTCTTATATTTACATATCTAACATGTAAAAATTCATATTTACTTACATACCTCTCAAAGTTTTAATATCACATCAAAAATACCTTCTTTACCATCTCTTCAAAAAATAAATACACCTTAAACCTTTAGGTTTATCATAGCCAGGTGCTATAAATTTAAATAGCAATGTGTTACATTTGAAAATATATAAGGATTTTGTGCCATGTCTGTAATTTCTCAAAAATCCATTAAAACTTAGGGGTGAAGACTTTCTCCCCCAATCACCTCTTAGTTCCACTTCTACTCTTAATCCTCCCATAGCTCCTTTGGTTTTGTTGACACTTCAATACAGCCAATACTATATAAATAGATATATTAAAATTTGTACTAAAATATACTTCCATATGATTCCATGCTTAATAAAAACACCAAAGATTTAGACTATTTCTCTTTAAATAGTTGCTAGGCACTAAACGATTGCTGCCAAATTGTCCAAGGCATTGGAACCAACTCATGAGAGCATAAATCAAGGTGAGATCCAAGGATTCAGAAGCAAGAAAAACCATTTACGGCCCTCAAATCATGGAAAACATATTACGTCCAGAGTCTAGATGCGTCCGGACAACAGACGTGATACAGCGGGGCGGACTGGAGCTCCCTGTATCACGTCCGTTATTCATATATTCCAATCACAACAACAACATTGAAGAACACATTCGACACTTAAATCACCCCAAAAATTTATATGAACACATCACAAGAATCAGTCTTCGTAGTCGGTATTTGGTGACCACACTAATATGACGTATAAGATCTAAAATCACATACCTTTACATTTTTCTTCTACCTCTACAGGTAGTTAAGACAAACAAAAAAACAAAGAGCTAACCTTCATCTTTTCCCATCAATTCTTTAACTACCACTTTGATTTCTTCTAAATTACTATGTACAGCACATATATCAGCTTGCCTGACTCTGATAGGCTTTCTGTCTGCTAACTGAGCAGGTGCAGGTTGCCCTAACATCAGATAAAGACTGCAGAAAGAAAAACAAAACAGCTTCAGAAATTGGAAAATTATTGTATTTTTTACTGTTTTTGTAAAACATATGAAGTATTTTATACAGATCCATCAGTGATGGCTATGTCTTATTAACAACTTGGTTTTATGCAGGCTTTTTTCATTCATGTTATAAGATAAGAAAGTATAAGTACTTAATCCTTAAAGTGCCGTACCTTGACCTGCTTTTGGAGATCTTTGATGTATTCAACGGCTAAATCGAGCATATCCGCAGTATTAGTTTGCTGCAATTCAAAAAATGTAAATGACATCATAAATAAACATTAAAAATAATATCACATGCGAATGACATCGATACAAATAAGTATAGATTTAATGATATTTGATGATTTATGGTGCAACACTATCACGGTACTAGTAAATATCATCAAATATCATCAAATATCACCAATTCACATGTACGAATTCCACACGTATAATTCACTCATACGAGTTATATTGATACAACCAATACAACAAAAATATAACAAACGTGTATGTGCGAAGTCCGCATCTAATAATTTTCACAAAAATGGGGGGGTTGGCAATTACCTTATCCATGTTGGGCACAAGCTCCTGCAACTTCCTCATCCTCTCGCTAATTCTAGTCCTCCTAACCTGAAAAGATTCAAACTTTTCTTCATCCTTCAAGTCAAAATTCCACAGAGGCAATCAACAAAGAACCGAGAACTAAAAGCTATGATTTTGAATTCTCACCCTCTCTGCAATGCTTCGAGGATGAGTAGCGCAGCCTCTCTTAGCACGGATCTTACAGGGCACGGAGTCCTGAAAATGGAGAAGTTTCTCAATCGCCGCCATCTCCGAACTAGTCTTCGGCAAACTGAAATGGTGCGTCAGCCCAGCTCCATTCTGACGAACACAAAAGAAGTTAATCAGGCGATCAGAGAAGACGGCCGGAGAAGAAATGAGATATAATACCTGAAGCTCCGTTTGATTTCGCCCCACCACATCTCCGGCTCTCTTGCTAGCAGAGAGGTTATCTGACAGGAAGGAGTCCTCCCAGGATCTGACTGCGTAGCCGGGAATGAAACCCTGGCCATTGCTGCTCTCCTCCGGGCTTCCCCCACCGCCGGAGATTCCCTCGCTCCCCATCTCTGAGATCTGAGACAGCGAGTTTTGCCTCGAGGAGAAGCTTATCTGGCCCTTAAAATCTCCCCTCATGCCATTTCTGTTACTACCAGGAATCCTTCCCATCAACCCATAGCCTAGCACAATTAAAAAAAAAAAAAAAAAAAAAAAAACAATTTTGCTTCAATTTTTAAGGGCAACGAAAAGAGAATTTTTCAGCTAGGGAAAAAATTTCCATTTTAAACGAAACTGATGAATAAGTATTTCTTTCCATTTCCAGCAAGATATTTATCCAGGTGATTACCGCTGTCAGCGTTTAAGTGAGACATGAGTCCAGCAGGGGAGCTGCTCTGCCGGATTAAATTGGCGCCGCCGGATTTCATCTGGTTAACCTCCATAGCCATGGAGCTTACCACCCTGTAGGCGTTCTCTGCAATAGGCGGCTGCTGCTGCTGCTGCTGATGCTGCTGCTGGTAAAGCAATTGAGAAGAAATTGAGGAGTAACCACCGTTCTGTTCTGCTGCGGCGTTCTGTTCTGTGGCGGCGGCAGACTTGTCGCGGATCTCATCGCGTGGACTTGATGCGAGAAAGCGAGCTAAGAGGGAATCTGTTTCAGGGCTGGAAGGCCTCACGGGGAGGAAACCCTCGCAGGCCTCGCCGAGCAGAGAGCTCGGCGCAGAGCTGAACCGGAGAAGACCGGAGTTCATCTGCTGCTCCCTCTGGAAAACCGATTCCTCTTTCCGGTGACCAAACGTTGCCGCCCATGAAGATCCGTACATCACACAATCTTCCTTAATCCCCCCCTCCGTCTCTGCTCGCAAAATCAGATCCGGATCAATACGCAGGACCTAAAGCTGGAATTCAGCACAAGTTCCGAACTTTCGCCGCTTGGCCATCCACTCGTAGCTTGCCGGAGATAAAAAAATCAATCTTTCCATAGCTGCTGAAATACGCCGGAGAAGACGAAGAAACGGGGCAGGGCTGAGAAGTAAGCAAAGGGGTTCCTTTTAAGCTTCGGAGCCTTCTTCCTCTTCTTCCCCTTCACTCAATTCGGCATCGAAGAAGACGATGAGATCAATCAATCTGTGGGCTGTTGAATTTATTATCCTTTCCTCATAAATGAAATTTCCAGTTTTCTGGAAGCGCCGAAATCCAGGATGAGGTTTTCAGCCAGTTAAATAATGCCGGAAGGGAGGAGGAGGTCTAAGCGCCGCTATTTATAGGCGCGAAAGGGCGGAAACACCCCAGACTGTTTTTGTATATTTACGGGGATGCCATTGAGCGGTAAAATCTGGTTGTACCGTTGAAATAGTTGGAATCAGTTAACGTGTTCCGGCTACGTGGAGGCTGTTATGTGAAGCAGATTCATTTGCTGGACGACACGGGACAATACTGACGTCATGGTAGCAGGATAATGTGTTGGGAGTGGGACATTGGAAGCAATCGTACCAATCCGGTGGCCACTAGAATTACAGCATAACAAAAAAAAGTTGCCCAACTTAGGGCGTAAATGAGTTAGTTGAGCTCGAGTGGTGCTCTTATTGAGTTCGGATCGTCTGTCAAATTCAGCTTGGGAGCTGGCTATCGAGCTTGAAATAAAAATTTAATTTTTATATGAGCTCACTGAAAAAAAAAAACCATTGGGAGCCGGAGGAGGAGAATGATGCAATGCTAGCTCACTCAAAAATACATCAACATTCAATTTTTGCAGCTTCTCCTCAAGTTTTTAGACTCTCTGTAAACTTAAGCTCCTTCTCATGTGAGGGGTGAAAGTCTATTTATAGTGTTCTAGGTGAAATTAATGCAGGAACATCAACCATTTTGAACAAACGGTACAGAGAGTTTCATTCGATCATGAGAATTTTAATGGACATTTGAGTGCCTTAAAGATGTTAGAATTCAGTGATCTTGTGCTCGTTGGATTTTTCTTGTCGAGATGCTCGATTCAAGTATAAACTTGCAATATTCGACAACCGTTTGACCTTCTAAATGTTGTGGTATATATGAAATTTAAAATGATCGATGATGAAGCGAAAAATAGAACGAGAAAAATTCACACCAAAAAAAGAACACACAGATTTAGGTGGTTCGACAAATTGCCTATATCCGCGGAGTTGCAGAGGATTTTATTAATTGAGAAAATTACACCAGTCGATCTCTTCGACAATTACAAGAGAAACTTCTCTTTCTCATTTCTTCACTCTTCACTCTCTACACCGAGATATACCGAACATGAAGAAGAAATACGTACAAGAGAAAAAACTTATTTCTCTTCTGCCAAAAGCCATTAAGAAGAAATCAAGAAGAACAACCTTCTTCTTCTTTCAGTCAAACACACAAAATAACTAAAAGAAAGCACCTTGCGAAAATACCCTTTTCTGCCTTCTGCTTCCCGTAAGCCTCATAAAGAATTCAAGTGAATCTCCTTTCCTGTTTCGCGAACTGAAGGAACGAAAGGTTTTTAAGTCTCGCGAGAGAGAGACGAAAGATGGGGAGTTTTCTGTTCGTGAAATTGTTCTAGGGGAAAGAAGCGAATTGAGTGGTTCACGAAATATGAGAGATGGGAGGCGGAAGAAAATAACAGGAGCAGTTACAATTAGTCGGGCCAACAGTATTTTCCTGATCTCCGATAATAGTAGGAGCACTGAAGATGCCGCCAATTTTTGCAATTTTGAAGCTAAGTTCCTGATTTCTGTTTTAAATTAGTCGGGCCTTGAAGGTTCTGAGCCTTTACCTACCCTTGGATCATTCTCTTTGAGTTAATCAGGAACTACCAACCGGCATCTTCCGGATTAGTCTCGAAGGGCAACTGTTTTCATCTATTGATTTCTTCTTATTCCCAACTAGCAAAATATGCCGAACCAGTTTGTAACTACCCTTTATGCTATTTTTCATCTATTGATTTCTTCTTATTCCCAACTATTGCTCTGTATATTTATGAACGATTGGAAGCTTTCATCGGCCTCCACTGATTACAAGTCAGCTCTATTAGCTACTGATTCCCTTGAACCTCCAGCGTTAGGATTCGTCAATCCCTCTGACGCTAGGCAAAGCACTCCTTCTGCTTTATCTGCTATAATAAAGCAGAATAATACTCTCCTTCAGTTATTACTTAAAATTTCTGATAGACTTATCACTGTTGAAGATAAGTTAAAAAAAATCCAACAGAAAGAAACCGAAAGGGAGAAATCTGTTGAGAATTCTATCTTTGCCCTTCAAAAACAGCTTGAATCTCTATGTTTGGGTGAACCATCCAAAGCGGTTAAACCTTCCAAACCAAAAGGCTAACTGTTTGTTTTTCAAAATCCTAAGACTATATTTCTTATGGAAAAACAAAAGTATTCTTGAATTTATAATCCATGGCCTCTACATCTAGGAATAATTCATTTTGTACCTCCATTACCCTTCTTCCTACCCATAACGTACGAAACTCTAACCGTACATCTACTTCCACCTCAAACCTAGATGATCAGATACGTGACTACCATATGAGGTAACGTATAGTTTATGAGATTTAAAGAAGACTGCCTCGACGGAGATCTTACAACAGAACTCTAGAAATTCAGATAGATCCAGAGCAGCAATTGCAGATCTCACAACGTAGGCGTGCTAATCTAGTTCCTGCGGAGACTCTATATGAAGACGGTTGGTCTTCAACAAGACATAGGGTCTACCAACACTATTCCGAGGAAAGCATACTTGCAACTGAGGGTATGCAGATAAACTTGCTGTTTATAAGGCAAGAATCATACCAACGATTAGTCCAAGAGAGCATGCAACATATTCACCTTGGATTAATCATGATACGTATCCACACCCTATATAGACGAGATGCAGGAACAACTGCTTTAATTGTTCTCCGTGACACCAGATGGCGATTTGATGTCTCTATTATTGGCAAAATTGAGGTTGATTTGTCCAAAGGTACACAACTCGTATACATAACTCCAGACATGATATTGTTCATACATGATTTTCTGAATCATATAGAGCTTGTTGTGCTTACACACAGATACGAGGACTGGCAAGGAGGGGAGTCTAATCTCCTCATCACAAGAGCCTTAGTTGTCAGGCTTACTAATACCAGTCATGCTGGGTTTCGTTATAATGTCAACGGAATTGCGTATTATCTAACAACCCACAGAATTGTTGCTATTCCTGGTCAGAAACATTCTATACTCCAACTGCAAGGCCTAGATTGGAATCTGAAGCATTCGGAAAGTACTGGTGTTCAAATACCAAGGCACTTAGTTACTAGACAACGGATTGATGGTACGATTCGTCTATCTTTCTCAGATTATACTGTCGTAGCACCACCACCTGTGCCTTAATATTCTACTCAGGACATTGAAGGTTCTGAGGATGAAATGGCGTACATGGCTTACGAAGATGGTCTCATATGGGATTATGAGGAAGATGAAGAGTGTATTACAGTATGCAAAGTTGAAGAATACAATGGTGATGCCGAACCAGTTTGGGATCAATCTCCGAGTGAACACGGAGATGACGATGAAGATCCTTTTTCATTATTTTTGTATTTCAATAACCTTAATAATGAACATAGTTCATTAACGGAAGTTGGTGGAGAAGATGCCGGTTGGTAGTTCCTGATTTCTGTTTTAAATTAGTCGGGCCTCCCACTTGGAGACCGGTACACATACAATATCATTTTCTTCATCAAACTGATATCCTCTACTGGTGGCGTTGTCCATCTCTTCAAACGTGATATCCTCCACCTCTGCAACTCAAGGCCACTGTCTTCAAGCTAGAAGACCAACTGAAGCTGTGCACAACTTCAGTTTCTCCAGAGTAATACTCTTTGTCAACATATCAGCAGGACTCTGGCTTCCACAAATTTTCGCAACCAACAACTGTCTGTCATCCAACAATGACTGTATGAAGTGATACCTGATCTGAATGTGCTTAGTTCTGGACTGAAATGCTAGATTCCTGACAAGGAATATGATGCTCTGACTATCACTGTAGAGTATGCTCTTCTGATCCTTCTTACCCAATTCTTTCAAGAAGCTCTGTAGCCATATCATCTCCTTTACAACCTCTGACACTGTTATGTGCTCAGCTTCTGTAGTAGACAACGAATCTATCTTTTGTAGATTAGAGCCCCATGATATTGAAGTGCTGACCAAAGAAAAATATGTTGATATTTTCAACCTATTTTATACTGTTTTTGATGTTATTGCACTTTAAAGAAATGTATTTTTGATATTTTATTGCAGGAATGATGAATTAGGGTCATTGGAGCAAAAAGATGCAAAAATGAGCAAATTTGGAGCAAAAAAAACCAAAATGTGGAGAATTGAACTAGGTCGCCGACGGCGCCCTCGACCCCGTCGACGACGAGTTTTTCCCGAGACTACAGGACAAAATTCTTCTGAAGCCCGCTGTGACAAAATTCTTCAGAAGCCCACTGAAAGCGAGATCGACGGTTATGCCTACTGAAGCTTTGGATAAGGCCAAATTTTCAAATTTTGAAGGGATGCTTAGGCAACTCTTGGGAAAGCTCATCCACAACTTTAAAAGAATAGTTTGGACAAAAATTGAGAGAGTCTAGAGGCCTTGGAGGTTAGAGAGGTTCCATTAGTGTATAGAATTTCGAATAGAGTGTAACAATTGTGAGGAATTCTTCGAGAGATTGTAAGATTGGAGGGAAAGTGAGAGATTTCTTCCTCCTTGCTACTTCGAAGAGGAATTCTGTGTGCTGTAAAGAAAGGAAGAGATTCAGAGGAACTTCGAGGAGTGTTCTTGGGGAGAAATTAGAGATAAGTTATTTACTTGTTGTAGTTTGTATGACTTTGATTTTATATATGAATTTCGAGTTTTGTTATGTTTTTCCCATGAGTTCCGAGTAGTTTTCTCTGTCTTTCTCCTTGTCTCAAGATTTGTGAAATGATGATTTGAATTGGTTAAATCATGAAAATTTTTAAGAAATTGTGATGATATTTTCACTTCAATCTTAATTTACTTTCAATCTAGCCAATTGATTTGTTAAAATATGTTGAGATTTA